AAAAGGGGGGCGAGGCGGAGCGCTCAGCGGCGGCCGCGTCTGGCCGGGCAGGGGTCGGCGGGTCCCCAAAAGGATTATTCCGCCCAGACTGTCAAATGGGATGGAAGAAATGCCCCCGGGCAGAGGAGGCGGGACAAGGAGTGGCGAGGCCTTTGTAGGCTCCGAAAGTACGCGGAGTGGAGAGAGAGGGGGTTCTCGGAGAAGTCGCTCTTCCACATGGGAGTACCAGGGGTCTTCAAAGTGCCACTATTTCACCTGGGGCGCTGACGGCGCACCTGCGCTCCCCAACACACACACACACACACACACACACACACACACACATACACACACACGAGTCACTCTCGCTACTCCCCATCCAAAGCCGGCCTAAACTCCCCAGCCCTGCCCAACCCGGACAAAGCCAGTGCTTGTGGCCAGCTCATCCATCACCGCGCGAGGCGCCGTTTCCTGACTACCCCGCCTAGTCGCGGAATGCTGGATTATGGGTCCCACGGCCCCCATAACTCACGAGGGGATCAGTGGGGCCATCCGAGCTACAAAGATCAAAAGAGCAGTGGGGCGGGACCCTGGCACGTGGGAAAAGACGGTCCCGCCTGGCGCCTATGGCGCCCAGAGCCTGCAGGGTGGCTCTCATTTCTACGGTTTTCTTCTTTCTCCAGAGTGTGACAAATTCTGGCTTAGAGGTTTAAGAGCACCGCATGCAGTCAGGCCGGGTGCCTGGGTTCCTCTCCTGTGTCATCTCACATGGCTTTGGACAGGCCTCCTAATCTCTCTGAGCTCTCATTGGACCTCTCTCAGGGTTCAAGAATGAAATTGCACGGCCTGTGTGAGAATACTGTTCTGAGGTCCAGGTCCATAGGAAACGCTCCAGAAAAAAATCGCTGCCTTTTATTACTATGTTATCAGCCAGATGGGCTCCAGGACGGACTGATGCCAAGACTGGACTGTTTATTCACTGGAAGGTTGACGTTGCCCATTCCATAAATCCTTACTGAATGTCTACTCTGTGGTGGCACTTGGGTACTGGAGTAAACAAAGATAAGAATCCTTGCTTTCATGGAGCTCACATCCTAGCGAAGGAGACGAAGATAAGCAAGTGAACCAATACATTTATGAGGGGGGGTTCACCATGTTCATGGAACGGGCCAGCTGTGGTGTGCTGGTTAAGGCACTGTTTTGGTTAAGGTGGCTGGATCCCACATGGCTAACTGCATGGTTTGAGTCTTGGACCCTGCAGCTAGAAAAATATGTGGGGCGCATTTCCGTACTTGCCTGAGAAGATAATGGAGAAGGCATTGAAACATAGCCATGCCCCTTTGGGGATGCTAGCTCACTTTCTCTCTCTCTCTCTCTCTCACCCCTCACCCTTTGTCTCTCTGTCTCTCTTTCCAGTGAGCGCACACACCCTATAGCAAATTTTTAAAAAGAAGAAAGAAAAAATGTTTGTGGAAATGCTTATTATGAAAAATCTATTCATGGATTAATTTTTTTTCTTTACCAAAATGAACTCATACTTCGCTTCCATTTTTTCCATTAACATTTTGAAGTCCCTTGTATAGAATGTCCAGGGATGGTTAGTGCTGTGAAGGAAAGAAAGCACAAAGAGAAAGGTGTGATTTACACAAGGTTGTCAGGAACCGTCTCTTTGGTTAGGCAGTTTGACAAAGAAAATAAGGTAAGGAGCTGTGTGGCTATGAGGAAAAGAGCGATTCAGTCGGAAGA